TGGAAAAATCATCAGACGAACGCATAGAAGCCTTAGAACGTAAAATAGATGTTCGGACCGAGCAATTAGTGACGATGAGGTTTGATAGACAACCTAGTACATCATACAGAAGGCAACGTAGTCGCTCACGCAATGTACGTGAATATAGCTTACCACAAACTGTATGCTGGTATCATCGAAAATTTGGTGTACACGCTAAACGTTGCACGCAACCATGTGCTTTCCAGTCGGTGACGACCGCAGTCACTGGCCAACACCCGTCCCACAGTCGTCTCTTCAGGGTGGCAGACAAAAGTGGTAAATAATGGGGGCACAATTTCTGGTAGATACCGGTGCAGAAGTTAGTGTAGTTCGCCCAACACCCAGCGGACCTTTACAGCCAAATCCCGTATCAGTACTTAAGGCTGTGAACAATACTACCATAAAAACCTTTGGAACTCGAAGACAAAATCTTGATTTTGGTTGCAGTACACCATTTGAGTGGGAGCTCGTCATTGCAGATACAACCTTTCCTATTTTTGGGATGGATTTTCTTCAGCAATACGAATTGCTTGTCGACTCTAGTCACCATAGATCGATAAGTAGTAGTCGAAAACTGTTGATTTCAGGCATCTGCACCGATGTCGAGGGTATCCGCTTGATGGTAGCTACATTGGATCAATTATCCCCGTACGAGATTCCGCTAAGGAAATTTCCTGAACTCACACAGAGTGATTACTCAACAGCCTCTCTCGAACACAACATAACGCACCATATTGTGCCTAAAGGTCCACCTGTCGCAGCAAAACCACGTCGTTTAGTTCCAGCAAAAATGCAAATAGCAAAAGCGGAGTTCAACAGATTGTTGGATCGAGGAATAATACGACCGTCAAACAGCCCATGGTCGTCACCACTTCATATGGCTCCGAAGAAGAACTCAACTGAGATACGACCATGTGGAGATTAGCGAGCTTTAAATAGGCAGACGATAGACGATAGATACCCAGTTCCGCAAATTCAAGATTTTTTTCATAACATGGCAGGTGCTCAAATATTTTCCCAAATTGACCTCGTTCGTGCATACTACCATATACCGGTCGAACCCAAGGACATCCCCAAAACTTCGGAAACAACTCCTTTTGGCTTATTCAAGTTCGTCCGTCTGTCATTTGGTTTAACTAACGCAGCACGAACATTTCAGCGATTAATTGACCAGCTCTTGCACGGCCACACATTCGCCTACGCCTATATCTATGATATACTGATTGCAAATAAATCAACTGAAGAGCACCAATATCACTTAGAAACACTCTTTAAGCTCTTGGCCGAATATGGAATTGTTACTAAACCAAGTAAATGTGAAATCGGTAAGAAAAGTATACAATTTTCGGGGCATCAGGTAGACAATCAAGGCAGTCGACCGATAGCAGAACAACTTCAAGTCATGAAAGAATACCCCATCCCAGATTCCTTCAAAAAGTTACGCAGGTTCCATGGTCTCGTCAATTTTTATCGCCGTTCAATTCCTCACTGCGCACAGCTGGCCCAACCACTGACGGATTTACTAAAAGGTCACGCAAAATCGCTGCACATGAATACTTCACCAATCGAAGCATTTGAAAAGCTGAAACATGCTCTAAGATCAGAAACTTTACTGGTACGTCGTGACGTCAACAGTCGTATGGCTATCATGACAGATGCATCAGACGTCGCCATCAGAGCGGTTCTTCAACAATTTTCTGCTGGGAAATGGCAACCTCTCTCCTTCTTCTCCAAACTTCTAAACGTTACTCAATCAAGATATAGTGCATTCAGTAGGGAATTACTAGCAGTATATCTTGCTGTTTAGCATTTTCGTCATACGGTCGAAGGAATATCGTTTAATATCTAAACAGACCACAAACCTTTAACCAAAGCCATGAATGCAAAGCACATTAAGTACTCACCAAGAGAGCTCCGACTCCTCAAGTTCATTTCTCAGTTCACTTCAGACATTAGATTCATCAAGGGACATAAAAACAAGGTAGCAGATGCGTTATCCCTCATCCACTTAAATACCTTGGAAAAAGATTAGTTTGACCTTAAAAAGACGGCTAAACTGCAAACTATGGACGAGGATCTGAAGAGACTAAAATATAGCACGAGTACTTCTTTACGTTTGAAAGATGTTTTGCTTGATGAAAGCCTAACTATTACTTGTGATGTGTCCAAAGGTAAACCGCGTCCTTTGTCCCATTAGAATTGCGAAGATTAGTTCTCTCCAAAATACGCGGCATTTCTCACCCTAGTATCCACGACACAGTTAAACTGATAAGTGACCGATATATACGGCCGAACATGAATCGCTAAATTAAACAGTGGACCAGAGCATGTCCAGCTCGCCAAAAGTCAAAAATACTGCGACATGCAGTCTCACCATATATCCAGTTTCCAGAACCTGATGGTAGGCTCAAACACATACACATTGACATCGTTGGACCATTACCACCATCTGATGGCTTTACTTATATCTTAACGTGTATTGACAGATTTACGAGATGGCCAGTAGCTAGTCTCTTACCTTATATTTCGGCTGAAACTGTTGCAAAGAGCATCATACAAAATTGGATTTCCAACTTCGGAGTGCCCAGAATTATTACTACTCACAGAGGTGCTCAATTCGAAGGCCATTTATTCCAACAACTCACAGAACTACCGGGAATCAAGCGTTTACGTACTACTGCTTATCATCCCAGTTCAAACGGCTTAGTGAAGAGATTTCATCGTCATTTGAAATCAGCATTGATGGCAGTGAAGGGTGATGATAAGTGGAGGGAAAAATTACCTCTTGTACTTCTTGGAATACGCTCGACAATAAAACAAGATATCGAATGTTGTCCAGCAGAATTAGTTTATGGAAGTACTATGGAACGACTGACTGGAGAATATTTCAACCCAGCCACCGAAGTTCCAACTGACGAAACTACTTTTTTGCAACAACTGAGACAACATATGAGCCTTTTAATATATCATCCTCCGCAACATCAGCTCAACCAAGCATACATGCCTCAAAAACTAGGCGATTGCACTCATGTCTTCATACGACACGACGGTGTAAGGAAACCACTCCAACCACCCTATGACGGGCCATTTAAAGCAATGGACAGAACAAACAAAATCATCACTGTCGAACTCGGAGGGAAACACGAGAATGGAAGCATCGATCGTGTAGAACTGGCTTTCATGGAAATAGAGGTGACTGAATGTTTACCCAAGCCATCAACATCATCTAGAGTTACACCACAAAATGATTCCTGCTCTCAAGATCCAAAACCTAGTGATATTCCGGCTAACAAAACAGAAAGAACCACAAGGTTAGACTGGTGAGTGCATTGGCCACAAAGATTTGTACAGACAAGTTATTTCTAAGTCATTTCCATACTTCCTTATTACTGTGCTATTAACTGTATGTAAGACATAAATCTATTCTGTAAGACTTTGCAATAACAACCTCATTATTATTCTAATAATTTTTATGGTTTCATTGTTACATTTTGCACAACTTTCTAAACATTTTGGTTCGTTTCAAAGTTGTTAGCATTTTCGTATACGTACAGTTATATCAGCGAACCTCAGAAAACTTAAAATCCTCAATTCGGTTTTCATACCAGAAACTCATATTTTTCTGTCCTTTTAAATTACAATAACATTCCGAATACAGCTAAACTTCATTTACCTGCATCCTACGGAGGGCTATTGTAGTGACCCATTTTATTACTCATCTTTGTAGTATACTTTCACTACGTAATTGGACTTTGAATTGTTTATCACTCTAAATATTGCGTGTTAACAATTGATACTTCTGTACTCGCTCAAGTTTTGAATTTCGATTGCTGCGTTAATACAGGTTCGTACTTCTTCTCAAGTGCCTTTTGATTTACGTTGTGGACGTTGAGTAAACACAACGTTAGGACACAATAATAATCGCGAAGAAGTACTAGGATATACGTGTTCGCTAGTTTGATCAAAAATAGCACCACAACAAGTGTACCACATCTGACTTCTATACTGTTCCAAAGGATGAGAGCCTAAATAGGTGTATTTATGAATAAAATCATACCTTCATCTCTTTTTTATTTGGATGGATGCATTTAGATAATGTAGATTCCATGCTAATCAATCCTTTCATTTTAAAGCGATTCTACAGTTGAGCATGCTAAATCGTATTTAGAGTATTTGGGTAGTGCTTTCGGAATTCTAATCGACGTTAGTCATCATTTTTATAATTGCAGTTAGCACAGGAAGCAAGCTTTTAAGCAAATGCGTGCTGGTGACTGGTGGTTTTAGTATAGTTTCAACCTTTCAGGATATTATTTAGTTTCATATAGCGTTGAATTCTTTTTCAGACTAGAAGTGTCTTTCGAATTGACTTTGGTGTCAGTTAAAATGTATAGGATGAATGATTTATAAAAGTAGTGGTCGTATATTACATGATCGGCCGAAAACAGATGTTTTACAAATATTTTGACCGATTACCTTGGTGATCGCAGAATACTTTGTAATTGGCTGATGGAGTTTCAGAGTAAATTGCATGTAAAGTTCTTTCGTCCTTTAAAAGCATTGCTTTGTATGTTTACAGCATAAGTATTCTTTTCGTTCGTCCACATCCATGTTTTGAAATTCGTGCGAGTATTATTGTTGAACTATGCATACATTCTATACATCTTTCGATGTGGTTATGTGGTTCTGAGCTGGGTGGTTAAATTGTGAAGCTCAGAGGACACAGCCGCATCAAAGTCACTCACCTGAGCTACAAGTTCTCTATTATTTCAAATACTGTTCGTATGAAGTTTAGTATCTAAACAGTTTCATTTGACTAGAGTTTCCAAATATTATGTAATTGACTTGTGACTAAAGAATCATAACCGAATATTTCTGACTTTTTTATAGCTTCGTTTTCTGTAATTAAAGCTGGAGTGTCCTGCACGTAGAGCATTCTTTCTTGGCAATCAATATATTTGCTTAAAACTTAGACGAATTTCATGGGATACGGGGGCATCAAAAGTCTACAATACCGACACCTGTATAACGTTTGTTTGAAATGGTCAGATGCTGAGTTATTTGAGTTGATTAATGCTTTAGAAAGGTTAGTTATTGTTACTACAAAAAGTGTAAACCATTATTTCACCAGAGATATTTCATTTTCTTCATTTGAATTGGGACAGCTTGTAAGAACCAAAACATCAATTGATGTAAGAAGTATTATTTTTCAAAGTTCAGCAAGTTATGTTATGTTATTCGTTATATTATAATATCACTTTCTTTACAGAATGGTTACTGTATTGTGTTTTCTGGAATCCAGTATAAGCTCTAATTTTGAGTATTCTGAATCAGTTGGCAAGATATTTTTATCCTGTTTTCCGTGCTTTTTGATACTCATCTACGGTGCTTATCTGAAATGTGGGATAAACACTCATTTTTGCGATTTTTAAGCCAAGTTGTTCAGCTGTACATTCATCAGTGTTGTAAGTAGCTGGTGAAACAGAAGAATAGTATTCGAGGGATTATTCGTGTACTGTTGTGTGTGTGGAAGTTATAGTAGGACGAATCCAAGTTCATTCTTATCCGTTACAACATTAGCTGTCATCCCCAACCACGTGGTTGTCATTTTTGTTGTTTTTTATTTTGTGATGTTTACGTTTAGAAAGGTTAAGAACAGAAATTTCATTTATGATTATCAAAAGAAGTATCGCCTGAAACATCTCTCCATTTATATGATGGAAATAATTCCAATGATATCAAGTATATTTTGCATAGATTATTTAGTCTTGACAGTTACTTTCTTTATGATCTTTTGGCGACGGGCGATGTCATCTGAAATACGATTAGATGAGAAAAGAGTTAGTTGCGGTCAAACCGAAATCTGTTCTCAGTCCATGAAGTCTTTCTTAGTTCGAGTTACCTTGGCAGGTATAGACTGCGTGGCTGGGGACCTTGGGATAATAAGTACCAATGTCTGGACACTATTGGTGATATAGCTCAAAATCATTCGCATTCACCGTTTGTAATCCCCCGTTTACATCAAACTATCATGTCTTTCCATTTTACTTGTCTTCCTCGCCTACATTTTGAATTCCTTTTTTCTCCGCTACCATTGTGTGATACATGGGGTATGGCAACTCGGACTGCTGCACTTTAGTGCAAAGTTCTGTGTTGAAACCCAGTCAGTCAATTCTTTAGATTATGACACTTTTAATGATTTTCAGGTTGATGAATTTGTGGAAGCTCTAATGGATGTAGATGAAAGTGAGTTGAAAGGTATGTTATGAACCAATTTTCCCCAAAATTGAATACTTTCTGTAGGTCGAGGCGTTGTATTTCCTGAGGAAAAACCTGAAGAACCAATCGATGTATGTTTTATACATATTTTGCCAATAATATTTCTATGTGTAGATATTGTTAAGGAGTGCCAGATACTGTTGCACCGAACGATACAATAGTTATGCAGCAGTGAGTCAGGTAGGTCTTTAGTATTCACATTAGTTGCTGTTCATTGAGGGTTGTAGTCAGTGCTATAAACTGAAATACGCAGGACAATAAATATTTTAAATATTTATACTCGAACTGCTGCACTTCAGTGCCAAGTTCTATGTTGAATCCAGACAAATATTTTAAATCTTGTTCTGGAGATTGGAAAATGCTTTCATTCTCAATACATTATTTCATATACATACTATCATCCTCATAATCCCCCTCTATAAACAGCAACACCAGTGGGTGATTTCAGAGGATAAAAACAAGCTTGTGTTATATGATAACTGAAAGTGGTTTCCACATAAATCCAGCATTCTTTTGTTACCGTGTTTAATCATTTTTGTCAGGTTATACGAAGCTGGAAAACGCATTTGGCTGAACTGTTTGTACAAATGATGAAGTAGGCATGTATTAGTGCTTTTGTTTTACACTTGAGTGGTGGTCCATGTAGACGAAATAATTAATGAAGGAATTTCCCTAAGTCCATATAATAATTTTAAATTCTATGACCAGTTAAGTTTGCAGTGACAACGATTTTCCATAGAGAACTATAGCTGATATTAATTTATATTAAGAATTAAATAAACTTGAGTAGATTTAGGTAAGCTGCACAGGGTTTGGTCACTGAGTCAGCTCTCCCTAGAAGTCTTAAAGCTGTTACTTTATCTTTATTATCCCCATTAGTGCTCTGTTCTGCACAAACTTTGTGCCATATAAACACCAGTAAGTTTGACTTAAGGATACAAATGAACACAGCAGTATTTGGTAGCATATTGTTTATTTGCAGAATTATGTACGATGATAGCAAGATATGAAAATCTTACGTTGAAATTTCATTTCGGAGAAGTTATTCGTATTCTTCTTCTGTTGTCTTCATTTCATAGTTTCTGTATTGTTTCACAGTAATCTTCATTTTTCGTCTTTTCAAGTTAGTCTGCTATTTAAGATTGTTGCCAGAGACCATCAGTATATTGTTTAGGAATTCTTGTAAGTAATACATGCCGCAATTAGGGAGTTAATAAGATCACAAAGAACTAAAGGAGGATTAACCTAATACTATCGATTTAAGAAGCTCTTAGTACTCTTGTTTAGCTGCTCAATTATTTAAGACAAGATTCTGCAACCGAGTAGCAAATAGTTTGGTCTTCAAAAGCCCGTGATAACTGGACACATTGATTTGTACTGTGTTTGAAGTAAATTCAGAACTTAACTAGCTATAGTTATCTCGATTTCCATAGCAATCCTCTCAAAGGAAAATATTTTATATGATTATTGTAGGCACAAAGTGTTCAGCATTTTCCATCACAGCATTCGAAAGTCGAGTAGTTGAAATTAAATCTGACAGAGTCGTCTATTATAGACAATCCTTGATATTCATACTTTCGTGTATTTTCTACGGTTCTCGTAACGATATTACATGGTAATTTAGTGGAAACGTCGCTTGTTAATTTAATTATTTCCATGTATAATGTCCAACTTTCTGAATCCATTGCACCTACTTGAGCTTAAGTGACTGCATAGTATCAGTGATTATTGCAAAACATTCGCTACACACTGCCTAACTAGAACATGGAGGTCCGGAAATATTAGTCAATTAAATTTACAGTTGGGGGAGAACTTTTAATTGAAATAATAGTTTTTATAACTGAAGATTAAAATTAATGAGATCAAGGAAACGAAAGCTAAGGAGCCGAACATCGAATCAAGCATATAATGGCAGTCAAGCTTCTCTCTACCTCAAATTCATTGACTTTGAAAAGGCCTTCGAGACGCAATTCGGAAGCTACTGCAACACTACGGCGTGCAGTGCCCAAATCTTTATCAACCTCATTCAGCAACTGGCTATATGACAACGCCACGCGTTAATTAGGTGATCCACAACGGGATGCTCATCGAGGCGTTCAAGGTGAACACAGGAGTAGGAACAGGCTAACTGTCTATTATCATCCACGGTGATATTCTTAATTGTGGTGGACTGGATTATGCGTCAGATTGTGCTTGGGAGTGAGGAGACAGGAGTACACTGAACCACCGATGAGAATACTCTAGATCTGGATTTCGCTCCTGGATGATTTACGTCTAATGTTACGCAAACTCCAAGACTTGCAGGTGAAAAGCAACAAACTGGCTGAAGAGGCGAGCACCGAAGACAGGACTGCAGGTGAACACAGAGAAGATGGAGGTGATGAAGATAACCAGCCAACCATAGCAAGAACAACAACCAGCACCAATCACCATCAAAGGGAGAGATTTGACAGAGGTTACCTCCTTCACTTATCAAGGAAGCGTGGTCTCAACTGCAGGCAGTTGGAATGGATGACGGATGAAATAATGAAAGCCGACCTGCTCCTAACTTTCCGGAGCTAGTGAATGAAGGCTTTCTGTCATGTTTGTTGATGGATGCATCTAACTGAATTTTTTTGACAGAATGTCTTAGTATCATATGCACCACTAGTAATTATTTTATGAATTACTATTGGCTACATATATATGCATAATTTTCACCATAAGTACCGGATAATTTGTTTTAGGTTTTACAAAAACTTTACAGACAGGAAGTATCAGATTACCGTGCAGTGCATAAGAGATATCCTAACCCCTCATACGTACCTTCTGGACAATTGTATCGCTTCATGATGGCACTGGTAGGTGGACGACCTTTACCAAATCTATCTGATTTGTCTTCTGGCGCCATCCTGGACTTTCTAACTTGGTATGTTACTCAGGGTTTATTATTCGCTCGTTTTAGTTCCACTTTTTGTTAAAAGCAGTATGTAGTCTTATTTCTTTCATAATCTCTATAAGTCATTTACGTTTATCTGTTTTGATACCTTTGCGTAGAGCTATCAGTTATTAAATCTTATCATTTACACTGTGTATTCCATAATGGCGTTTATAAACTAATGGCTTCGTTATTTCCAAGGCTACCCATTTTTCTTTCCATGTGCCAAAAAGATCTTATGAACATAAACCTGTTGCCTAAATTGTGTTTGAAAGATTGTTTGCAAGTCGATGAGTGGAAACAATGGAAGACTGTCAACTAGGAAGATGAGGCGTTTCAATTCCCAGTGGTCTGTAATTCTTTCACTGTATTGAAAAACTATACGTTCCCGCTTGTCCGTTGATTTTCGCTATGAAGTAAAGTTTCAATACCTGTTCCATGTTCTGATGTATCTTTTTATACATACTGACGATATTTTCTTCCATTGGTACTTCCCAATTTCACATTAAAAAACCCTTTTGAGATTAGATATCTATTCTCAAATGTAATGTCAGTAATAATATATATATATATATATATATATATATATATTGATCCGTTCCTCTGATTCTATGCTTTTCCACTTTTCTTTCCATAGTTTGACCTCTATTGCCTCCATAGCCTTCAACCCTGATAATGGAAACGACGATTGTAATTCTGCGACAAATCCTGTTTGTACCCGAATGAGGGAACAACTTACAATTGTTACAAAAATGGTTAAACAGAAAGTCGGTGTATATATGGCTCTTGTTGGTGCTATACATGCTAGTTCATTTGTTAGCATACGTGATGAAATAACTCTTAAAAGCGATTTTGGTAAGATCCCCTTACTCCACTTCGTCTACTGTGTCAAGTCAAACATCCTGACACGATTTTAGGATATCCTCCAATGGTGGAATACTTGGTTGATAAGTACGCAACCATTTGGGATAGTAAGTAGTTTTGTTTAGCATTAAATTAAAGATACCGAAAAATATATGCTACAGTTAGTTGGTTACAGTAGGGCATTTTATTTTTAGATTCATTTTAATACTAACTTGACTGAAAATGAATTCTGTTTACGAATTCTTACTAAGCTTATAGTATATTCAGACAAAAGTTCTTTCGGAAACCCATAGAGGAAGCGCGAACAAGTTGTCATTCCAATGAAATATGCTCTAAATTCACCTGAGAATTCAAGATTAGGAAACTTTTTTGATAGTTGTGTTCAAGTTCGAACTCATGTATTTTTCAAACTCAGCTGTTACACATACTTACATAAGTGCTATTCATTTTTATTGAATTGGAAACTTTAAAGAAACATCCTGACATTTAGTGAAAGGAGTTTTACCCAACGAAATACGATTAAATAGATCACGCATCTATGTGTTTAACTTCCGATAATTTTACTTTAATGATCTTTCATTTTTTATAAGTATAAACTATTTCGTAGAACTGCAGAAACAGTGTAAGTATTTGGCTAGGAGTGGATCTACAAAATGTCAGGAGATTCTTTGACTAGTTCTCAAGGACTTGCAGGTGTAGAGATAGTATTGAGCGGAAAAATCCCTAGTTGATTGGATCCTATTGGATGTATGCTATCCGAGTGGACGGATCCGTTAGGAGAAACAAAGATTGTGATACCCGTCCATGTTTTCCCATAATCTTTACTTGTACCTCAACAGACTGCAGTTTGGACGAAGTAAAGAATGAGTTCTATCACAAGTTGTCTAGTTTGTTGCTAAAAGTAAAGCTGTCAGACATAGTCGTAGCAATTGACCCCAGTGCTTAAGTAGGCAAGTTGTACCATTCAGAAAAGTAAATTGGTAGTATCTATGGTGTCCCATGCCGGTGAACCACCAAAGGTGATCGTCTTCTACAGTTCTGTTCAGTTGATCATCTGTTCCTCGTTACTACTAACTTACTTGGCGACCAACATAATGAAATCAACTCTGGACCCAAATAGACGCTTCCTAGTACCTCAGTTAATGCAGACAGTAAACTGTCTCCACCGTACTTAAATACCTCTGGAGTCATTCCATCAGGTCCCGCTGCTTCGCCTTGTTTCAGATTACTGACAGCCTTAGTAAACTCAGTTAGCGACGGAGGACCTGTGTCTATGTCTCATTCAGGGAGGTGTTGAATGTTCGTCAGGTTGATCGTGGCTGTAGGCCAATTAAGCTACTCCTCAAGTGCTCTTTCCATCGTTCCAGTCATCTATCCTGGGAGCTAATTATGGTGCCATTTTTCTCCGAGATTGTTTCACTTATCATTTGCCTATTATCACCGGTTTCTCTGATAAGCCTAAATAGTTGTCTGGTGTTGCCAATCACCGATGCCTTTTCCATCTCCTTCGCCTTCATCGCCCGCCACTGTTCACAGTCGTTGCGAAGACTTCTTGTCAGTTTTCGTTTGAGTAGCTTTCGCTCCTCATCATGATCGGAGCTTTCCAGAATCAGTCTTCTTGCGTCAGTCAGTTCAGACGAGGCGGTACAGATCCAATGGCTCTTACTAACTTTCGGTTTTAGCTTATTAACAGCTTTTACAGCTGTGTCTACAGTTAACTGTATGTTGTGCCAGACTACCTCAAGCGAAGTCGTGCTGTCAACCTCAGAAAGTCGTTTCGCTATTTCTTCCTTAAATAGGGACTTAGTGTCTCGATCTAGTTGGGGACGTAACTGTTTCGCTGCCGTCAATTTCTTATGTCCGTTTATTCGTAAGCATAAACGTGCGCAAACCAGAGCGTGATCAGAGTCTATGCACGTGTTCCAGAAGGAGCGACAGTCTTCTACTGACCCTTGCCAACGATACCCTATCGCTATGTGGTCTATCTGAGTCCAGCGTTGATTTGGTGATGGAGGTCGCCAGATTACACAATGTCTCTCTTTGTGCCTAAAGTTAGTGCTGACTAAGAACAGACGATTATCTGAGCAAAACTGTAGAAGACGATCACCGTTGTCGGTTTGTCGGCAGGGAACTCCATACGTACCGCCTACATACTTCTCAGTCTGGCACAACTTCCCTACTCGGGCATTGAAGTCGACTGCTAAAAGAACTATATCTGAACGTTTTGCTTTTTTGCAGCAAATTAGACAGTTTCAGGTAAAAGTCATCGTATTGTTCATACGAACTGCAGTCTGTTGGGGCGTAAGCGGAGACTACGAAAAGGTAACGACGGGTAGTGCCGTCTTTCCTTCTTTTAACGGACCCTTTCTGAGGGACCTCACACATACGACAGCCTACGATGAGACGCGATTAAGGAGTGCGTCGGTCGGAAATCGAATCCATACCGCGTACTTAATTGGCGAGCACTCTAAAATGCTAAAGTACTATCGACGCCAATACACGATATTACCACACAGTTTAATCCATCAATTTAAACAGAATTCGCAGCGCAATCAACACCTTTGGTGTCTGTTTCCGTGTTGCTGTTTTGTATTGTTTATTTTAGGTTTGCTCTATTATCAAAAAAGAGGTAAATCTGAACGAATCTAAATTCAAAAAGATTCCAGTACCTCATTTCAGTACTTTCTCATATTCTAGAATTATGTCGCTTGGGGTGTCGCCATACCAGAAAGGTTGTTTGGATAGCGGTCAGACAAAAAGCAGCTACCTAATCTAATGCTATGACTCCAAGAAAATCACAAAATATCATGCCGGATCGGTTGGGGCCCGGATTAACAACGACCGCGCTTCCTGCTGCCGTGTCGCAGGGCAGAAGTGATAAATATCCTACTGAGACACACCAAACAAAAAAGAACAAACAAAAACAGGCCGCGTGTGACCGACCTCAAGCAGTTGTCCCCTGGGCTCTGCGGTCACGCAACCAACTTCCACGGTGTGGGCAGCCGGGAAGTAAAAATCGCCCTCACAATACGAAATGCACACGAAACCTCTCTAATCCTCACTCATCTTTGTCTCCATCTTCATCTCTATTATCTTGCCTTCCTTCCACTGATGCAACTCCTGTATTTGATGGCTCTTCACTCTGTGTCCACTAAAAACGACGGAAGCCAAAAAGCCTCTACCGATAGTCTCCTAAAGCGACTCCACCAATTTCATACAGGAGCATTTAATGTTAGGACACTTTGCCAAATAGGACAACAAGCATCACTAGCCAAGACTCTGGCATCTCAAGCCATTGATATATGTTGTGTTTCAGAAACACGCATACAAGATCCAAGTGTGGTTATTCACCTAATTCCATCTGGCCAACAGGTTGAATCTGCAAAATTCACCTTTAGGGTGTCAGGAGATGCCACAGCTAGTTCACGAGGATTAGCTGGTGTAGGGATAGCTTTGAGAAAAAGAAAAGACATTACCTGACTGGATCCCGGTAGATAGCCGAATGTGTGCTGTCCGTCTGAATGGATCAGTAAAAAGGAGAATGGACTGCACTACTCGCCGATGCCTTTTCATAATTTCCACCTACGCCCCCACTAACCTCAGTTCGGATGAAACGAAGGATGAGTTCTACCAAAAGCTGTCTAGTTTGCTGCGAAAGGCTAAACGCTCAGATATAGTCGTTCTAACTGGTGGCTTTAATGCTCAAGTAGGGAAATTGTGTCAATCTGAGAAGGATGTCGGTGGCACTTATGGAATTCCGTGCCAGTATTAAGTAGCAAAAGAAAGTTAATCAGTCAAGTTGTGAATGTGAATTGATTGAGTTGGTTAGGACACGTGTTGGGCGTTCCGAGCCATCGCCTCCCTCAACAGTCAATGTTAGGATTAGGTGGGAAAAGAGTTTGGGATGGTCAAACCGAAACCTGGTATTAGTCCATGAAAGCCTTGACAGTTAGTTTGAACCAGTTAAGCAGGTGTAACTTTCTTGTTGGTGTCTTCGAGATGTTGAGAACAGTGGCTGGAGATTGTTGATGTTTGATGGTTTGAAATCATTGTCACTGGTAAAGATGCATTGACTCAGTGGGATCTCCCAGATTTATTAAGTCCTCATTTTTTCTGTTACGATTCTT